TGATACCCACAGAGCCAAGGTAGTGTCGAAAGGTCAAATGCGGAAGTTGAAAACATGTTAAGAACCTGGATGATCGGTAATAATTCGACAAATTGGAGTCGTGGTTGCTACGAAGTCCAAGTAATGGCTCTCACATATACAATTAAATTAATATTATACAATTAAATAATTTACATACTTTAAATATTGATTTAAGTGGCAAAAGAATACATCGCAACATAGAGTCATAAACAGGAGCCCGTACGAAGCTCTACTTGGACCGATAAAAAGCGGCATAAGAAATACGTCTTTGCCTGATGAAATTTTAAATTCACTTAAGACAGAGGAAGACTTGGAGCAGGCTCTCGAGGAGCAGAATGTACAATTGAACGCGAGGTAATTGACTTAAAATAAATATAATAGAACTAGATAAATATAATATAATAGAACTCATATAGTGATTTGAACTTTAGTGTTGAGCAGTGCGAAGACGTAGGCAAGAGGAAGAGGGTGCGAGAGGATGAAGAAGAGGAGGGAGAGGGAACACAGAAGAAGCGAAAGATAGACGTCTCGAGCAGTATTCTTTGCACAAAGTGCAAAATGGAAATGCATAGCGACCGCGGACAGGCTGTTATCTGTTCATTGTGCGCTAGGGGCGAACAACTACTTGACACTCGGTCAAATTGCTTCGAGCGTCAAAAGGCAGAGGCCAAAAAACTGGTTACCTTTTCGAGTATCACTTTTCCACCCTTTCAGATCAACGACACCATTACATTATCTGTTCCCACTGTAGACCGTGGACCTCTAGATTTTAATAACATATTTGGCGTTGTAACTGATAAAAAAAATGACGTATATCAAATTGGAACCAAGGATGGGATATTGAAAGGGTGGTTCCCCCGTACTGAAATTGCAAAATCGGGCACTAATCTTATTACCATGGCTGACATTCCCAAAAATATTCTTCTTACTTTGAGGGAAGCTGCTGGGAAGCAATCTGCAAGTGGTGGACAGGGATACAAAAAATGCAATTGCAAAATCAGCTAAGTGTCAGACAAATAGATGTGCTTGTTATAAAGCAAAAATCCTTTGCAGTTCTCGTTGTCACAGTAGCTCGTCTTGCATTAACAAATGGAAAGTATAACAATAAATAAATTGACCTCAGGCATGAATTGACTATGTTATCCTGTATTAACAAATAGTAATGTAGTAATAATTGTGTAGTAAAGTATGTAACGTGTAGTAAAGTGTTGTACAATTTTATTTTATTAATCTTATTTTAGTATTTATTTATTTATTTATTTATTATTTATTATTTATTTATTTTAATCACTTAATCTCGTTATGTTTTTAATACTTTACTTATAATATAAATTAATTTTATTTTATTTAAATGAGTTATACTTTATAAGATAATTATGCCTATGCGATTTTATTCTATTTATTTATATATTATATTATATTCATTCTTATCTATTGCAACCGCATTTTCTAATATATTTATGTTTCTCCTCTGTATACTAAACGTTTATCCCGTAAATAAAGATTTATTATTATTAGTAAATAAATTGACAACGCATCGAGCCTCAAAACAAGCATTTCTCTAATCGCCTAAAGGTCGTTCTATATTAGTCGCATCTTAGCGTCGCAAGGGTCGCAAATCATAGATTCGGCCAATCAGCATTGACTTATAACTAGTCTACGACCCTTGCGACGCTAAGATGCGACTAATGTAGAACGACCTTAAAGCGCGCCAGGCCGTTAGGCGAAAAGCCGACTTGTCGTCTAACAGGCTGAATTTTTCAGGCCATTAGACTATATCGTCGTCGATTAGCCTAACGGGCGGCATTTAGCTAAACGCCTAGGCTTTTAGCTAAATGGCTAGTTTGGCTATCGGGCTACGACATATATATATACATATACATATATGTAGATTGGGTCAAACTGAGAAGAAAAGTTATATACCATTTTACAAAATCCGTAATTATTATCGCGTAATTAAGAAAAACGTCTGAGCCAATAAATGCACGGAGGAGCGGAAGGCCGGACTCGGCAGACATGCAAAAATGGTGTATTTGTTGACATCTCTCAAGATCCGATAGCGAGAGGTGGAGTCACGCGTCGATCGATGAGAGACGGCGGCGAGCGGGGAGCGGTGAGCGGGCGAACGGCGCGCAGCGAGCGACATATGACACCGCGCCGAAAAAGTTTTTCTGGTGGTAGGAGAATAATACACCATTTTGCATGTCTGCCGAGTCCGGCCTTCAGCTCCTCCGTGCACTTATTGGCTCAGACGTTTTTCTTAATTACGCGATAATAATTACAGATTTTGTAAAATGGTATATAACTTTTCTTCTCAGCTTGACCCAATCTACTATAATCTTTGGAGTCGTTTAAATCGAATCCGACACCCTGTATAGTTTCTCTTGTCCATATACAGGATGAGTAATATATAAAGTACATGTATAAAAGAAAGTGTTATGTGTAGTCATTTAATTTGTTTCTAATTAATTTCATTTGTCTTCTGTTCATATTTTGCTATACATTAGATTTCTATATTATTTAAATTAAATTTTTCTAGAATTTGACTGTGTCCTGATATATCTTGATGTCTAAAAATAAATTAAAATTACAATAAATTTAACGTAAAAGAATTTTTCTCTTTGAAAACGATCACTTTAATGCCTGAACAATTTGTATCGGAATATCGCAGAAAGGCGCATAGTTCACAGCCCACTTTCACTACAAGAATCATACTATATATCACTTGTTGCTTAATGTATTATTGCGCTTCAAAGTTTTTCTGCGTATCGCTCATACTCGCGCACTCCCGAGACCGCGGAGAAATGAGCACTCGCTGTTTAAAGAAACTCGGCAACGTTTTTGCAAAAGAGCACAACATTGTAGCAAATATTTAAAATAATTTTATAATTCACATATTGCAATAACAACTTTTGACATTCTATAATAATTTATAATGAAAAAGATAATTTATACAATTAACTTAAGAAATTCTATTATTTAGAATTGTATGTCAATTAATATTTATTATTATAATTTGTGCAGAAAGATACAAAAGTATATCCCAAATTTCTAGTGCCAACGAGATATTCTACTACGCAAAATATAATAATAATATTAATATGTATTTTAATGTAGAAAATATACAAAATTTTTACATTTATAAATAAAAAATATCAAGATCATTAATATATATATTCAATAATAAAATTTTTCTTATTATTTATTTCAGTTTATATTGAAATGTTTCATAAATTGTAATATTTTTTACAGGCATTCTATAAAAATTATAACATTTTTATTACTTGCAATGTTAAAAGTTATAGCAGTAAAATATTAATTGTGTAAAAAGAAAAAAAATTTTAATGTTTGAAATTTTACCGATGCGTAATATTGTAATGATAAAGCTGGGAGAATAGAGGAAACAGAGACGGTCGTTGGTCTTTGGTTCCTCAGCAAGATAAAACATAATTTTTTTGAGAAATCTTATCTTGGTTGTACCACAGAGAATCGTAAATGGCTCGCGCAACGTACGAAATTGTTGCGACAAGATTTGGAAACGCGCCGCGGCAAACCACACGAGAAGACCGACAAAATTACCGATGCAAACCATGGAGAAGCACTGCCAGATAGCGAGGAATTGATGTAGAAAGATAATAGTCTTCACCGGTTCATGTTAAACGTCGAAAGGGTACTTTGCATCTGTCGGGAAGAGCTGATCGGCCGCTATCAGCGGTATGAATCCCGTTACAAACGCCCCGAGAAAAACCGCCGCTGTGGAGCTTGCGTAATACATCGCGCATCTATTGACGTACCGTTGGTAGAGCATCTCCTCGTACGGTTTCGCGCATTCGAAATTATGTTCCATTTCCGAAACTAAATACTGAAATTTAATTCGATTGTTCAAGTTTAATACGTACAGCTTATACTTGAATTATAAATAAATGAATAAAATCAATGAATTCGATATGTCCAAGTAGATAAATTTTCGCGAAGACATAATCTCGTTCCGAAATTACTGACAAACGGAGTTAATAAAAAAGTATTTTATAAATATGTATACAGCGTTGAACAATAATATTGTAAATAAATATTTATATTGATAATATATCTTCATAAAAATAAACAAATAATGCATGAAGAACGAAAGACTGAAAATGATTTATCAGAAGTCGGTTTAATAGCATTATACGTAGATATGTATTTCTTACTTGCAATCGGTCATGTTGCAGCGCACATTGTGTTATCTCCAGAAGGACTTGTATGAAGGCAGCCTGTAACGCCCATAGCTTCGATAACTTTGGTAGATCATAGTCATTATGATGAAGGGTGTACGATACAATTACAATCAATACAGCCATATTTATGCAGAGAAAAGAGCGTACTTTGAAGCATATTACTTGAAATTTACTGGCACTTTGAAAGTGGCCACGAAAAGGACAAGGCGATTATCAATTTTGTAAACGCGACAGCTGTCTTCGGGGTTACTTTGCTCGTTATAATTAGATCGACGAATTCATCGATACTATAATGTACAACAATATTTTCAGTCTATATTCGTTTACGACGTTCTCTCGCGCTACATCGTTTCACATAAAGTGTTATAGATTCCTTTCTCCAGTCCACAGCGCGTAAATATTTGATGAATAATAGCATAATCGAATTATACATCTTATAATGTATCCATGTACAATACTGCAGAAGAATGATATGCACTATAATTTACATGTATGTATAATGTTACTCAACTCTTATCACGGGTATTGTAAAAATAACAATTTATAAGAGCTTTATATGAAGGAAATGTAGTAAGCGTAATGTATATTTAATACTAAAGAAAAACAGCACGATTCTTATATTTGTAGCAAATTGCTACACACAATGATAATATATGATTAAATTTTTAATATGCAATTTTATCTAGCGTGCCACAGAACGAAAATTATCAATAGCAGAAAGAATACTCTCAGTATTATACATATCATCATTTCGTGAAGATGTTTGTAATATTTGTTGACGTTGTTAGTATTAACAGACAGAATTTTTTAAATAAGTTTTTATGAAATTTTGAAAACAGTTTCGCATTTTTGTGCAATTGTGTCATTTTCTTCAACAAACCTTGCATATAATACATAAAAATACACAAATATTCTTAACAAAAAACGAGCAAGTGAATAGTCCAAGGTTTCTGGTCTAGTACCCTAGCCCGTTAGTTTTCTCGCAGAAAAATTGATTAATAAATGTAACTATAGAAAAAGCTTCAGTACATATCAATAATTACCAATAGAATTTGATTAATTTTATTAGAAGTTTATTGTAATATAATATATATTCTGAACTGTATGTCCAACCACATGCAATATTGTATTACATTTAATTATTATTATTATTATTCAGAATTGTTCGCAGTATTGTGAAATAGGAGTATACTGTACATATAATGGAAAGGTACTGTAACATATAACAATAAATATTATATATTGTATTTTTTATTTTTAGTTTTTATATTAATAAACAAATTAATTTTTCATTAATTTGATTAATTTGATAATCTAAAATAAAAATACCAGTGTATATGTAAAAAACTAACTTTATGAAATCACTTTTTTCGATAAATTAAATATATTAAATTCAACGTGAAATTATTTGTAACCTATCCATTGTAACGTAACGGATCTACAAAATATATCAATCTACACTCTACGATCTAAAAATGTAGATTCCGTTACTTTAAGAAAAAACGGTAATTCTTCAGTATAGCTACCCCACCTCCAAAATCAATCAAATTGGTCTCATTCGATGCGTTTTTCAACACGAGAAACAACTTTTTTTTTACTCCACTTCGTTAAGATATAACCCTACCCAAACCATATCTGAAGTGTGGAGTGGATCTCGCTTCACGTGGAAATACGTCACTGCATATGATGTGCATTTAGTCTGATTTTGTCGGTATGACAGATTTCCTAACTCTAAAAGTTGTCAACTTTAACAATTAATATCTCGCTTCGCAGGGCAGAGCGACGATTTTGTCTAAGGAAAAAGTTGTTTATTGTTGAAAAACGCGTCGAATGAGATTTTTTAAATTGATTTTTGAGGTGGTGTAGCTATACTGAAGAATTACCAAGTTGTCAACTTTAACAATTAATATCTCGCTTCGCAGGGCACTGACACTGAACTCGTTTTGCACTGAACTGTACAAGCGCAGCACTAGGTCCGATCGGTATTAACCTTTCTCACAATCAGTGCAACACCAACTCGATGCAATTACACACTGAACTCGCTTTGCACTAAACTTGTCTTGTGCGAGTGCAACACTAGGTCCGATCGATGCTAACCTAAAATTTTATTAATAGCGAATTCGGTTGCTTGCACTATATAGTGCGTACCGAGTGCACACCAAGGCCAGTTTACAGTCAATTTTTATACTTAACTTTGTCTTAAATGCACGTTCAAAGCGATTTAGCCAGAAAACAATCCGTATGGATGCTATACAGATCGTTTTACTGGCTACGAAATATTTCAAGAATATTTATAAGACGCTTCGGAATATAAGAATTGACTGTAAATAAGCCTTAGTGCGCACTCAGTGCGCACCAGTGCAAGCAACCGAATTCGCTATAAGAAATAAAAGTCCGCGGTTAGGATCCATAATTTTACCGCGCTAATAGTAACTGCACTGCAAAAATTGACCGTGTAATAAACTTTGCACTCCTTCAGTTTATTTTGCGTATCCGAATACAAAGTCAGTGCTACACTAGGTTAGTGTAGCACTGACACTCATCGAACATGATATAAGGTTTGTACTGCAATAGTGCAATATAACCGAATACGACGAGTGCAATGCACTGAAACAGAAGGCATCGATCGAATACGTTGCACTGGGAAAGTTTGCACTCAGTGTACACTAGTGTACATTAGTGCAAGCGACCGAATTCGCTATTAGCTGTCCACCGACACACTCGCGAATTTACACTTCCGTTTGTAAAGTCACTTGTCACTTTCACTATATCCAAATGCCACTTCACTCGCGAATTTATACTTACTTTTGTAAAGTCACTTGTCACTGTCACTGTATCCAAATGCCACTTCTTCGGTTTTCACTGTGTCCGATTGTCACTGAGTTCGATTGCCACTACGAACTGTTCGATTACATCGTCGCACTGATACCCGCACAAATCACTGACACAAACCGCGGGAATTCAACGATCGCACGATGATATCGATCATTGATTATTCACAGAGAGCGATCGCGGTTTCTTCCCGCACTTGTCGCGAACGCG